GTTATTTACCAAATGATATGAAAAAGACGAATTTCGTAAGAAAAGATTTTAAGGGAATTTACTAGAAACGGTCTTGGTCTCTTTGCACGCACGTTATCTACCAGGCATGTGAGATATATTTGATATTTTTCTTCAAGAAATGCTCTGGAACATTGCAAGAATTCTGGAATTATTTCTCATAAAGAAAAATACTCTCGAGGTGAATCATATTATGAGAAACACACCAGAGACGATTTATATTATGTACAACAAACGAAAGTGATGTTTCCATGATAATCAAACAAGAAGTGAATTTTCTTTGTTTTAAAAAATTTAAATAAAAAAAATAAAAAAAATAAATAACCTGTTAATTTTTTTCGAGATAAATTCCTGTCAAATTTATAATAGATCAAACTGGGCTTGAGATATTTATGATCTTATGAACCACTTTCTTTTTGTTATTTTAGGATCTCATTCACTTTTTTTAATAAAATCAAGTTACTTCAGATAGGATAAGCACTTAGATAATGTGATGTCATAGTATATCATTAGAAAGTAAAATATGATGTGTTTCAATGTAGAAATACCTTTAACGCTAATAACAATAATAATAAGAGAATTTGTATTTGCGCATCCTGCACCCTATATTTATATATCTTGAATCGGAGTTAGGGTATAGAAATATTTTATTTGTCACACCCTGCATTTTGTGCAGGTGCGTAGAAAATAAAACCCTAATAATAACTAATATCTGACCATTCAAATTTCAACATATACTAATCAATTCCTGGAATATTAATGGTGACTATTTTCCATGTACAATTTCATTGAATTGAACACAATTATTACATTCAGGTGAAGCATTATATTTACCATCCGGCACGTATAATCTTCCAAGTTGCAAATTACTTCAGGTTCAATCGTTTGAATTACTTTACCGATAGATTCCGATCGGATTAATAACTGTCAAAACCCCTTTCGCAATCCTTTTCTTGATTTTTTTCTCTTTGATTTCCACGTTAAATTTGAAATAGGTACCCTACCTCGTACTTTAATTTAGGATATTATATAGTATTATAAAACATGGTAATTTTCATTCGATTTACCATTCCATTTTTAATAACAGCTCGTTTGTTTATAACGCTTGTAGTACTGTATAAAGCTGTACAAAAGGTTGTAATTTTTATTAGAAGGAATGCATATTCCTTTTTATCAATAAAATATATTTTTCTATATAATTAATAAATAAATGTTTGAACCAAACAAGTCAAATTATTTAAGACGAAAAAAGTAAATAATTCAGTTAAATTAAATTGCTAAATTGTATCAAAGTGTAGGATTATTGATTTTTTAAATATGAAGGGAGGGAGGATTTCCTTTAAGGAATCGGGTAAATTTGGTAAGCTTGTTATTTGTGTTTCGAAGCAATCGAGATAAGTTAAGGAGTTAGGTAATGTTGGTAAGCTTGTTATTTGAGTTGCAAAACACCTGAGTTCCGTTAAGGAATCTGGTAATGTTAGTAAGCTTATTATTTGAATTCTATAGCAATAGCATATCGTTAAGGAGTTAGGTAATGATGGTAAGCTTGTTATTTGAGATTTAGAGCAATAGAGTGTCGTTAAGGAGTTAGGTAATGTTGGTAGGATAGTTATTTGAGTTTCAGAACAGTTGAGAAAAGTTAAGGAGTTAGGTAATGTTGGTAAGCTTGTTATATGAGCTTTATTACAATAGAGCTTTGTCAATATTCGATACTTTTGCAAACCGTATAAGGAGTTCAATATGTCATTCTTATTCGTATCTGTAATAGTTTCATCGTAAGCAACTATTTCAAGATTTCTGATTCTCATTTCTATAATTCTTTGTTTTTCTCTGGACA